GTATAGTACCTTACAAACATGAATTTACAGACATGAATTACTGAATTAATGCAAATTTACTAACATGAATTGTGAACATAAATTGCTAACATGAATTGCAAACATGAGTTTAACAAAAAAAAAAAACCAAGACTTGATAATAATTTTATTATTTTTTTTTTAATCGCTCAAGACTTTGAAAAAAAAAAACAAATTTATATGAAAAAAATAATATATACAAGAAAAAATACAAATCAAATGTATTAAGTGTAATATACGCGATGTAATTAACACGTATAAATTTTATAAAAAAAAAATTTTTTTTCTATGTAAAACTCTATATTAAATGAAATAAAATCAATTATTTTTTCTAAAAAAAAAAAAATCGAAATCAATATATACTTTGTAGGGAAATGGAAATGGAAATGAAAGAATGTTATAAACACGAGTAAGAGTGAGAAAAAAAGAGAAATGTACATATGTATATATGATTATATGTATATATATGAACAAAAAAAAATGAAATATGTGCATTCTAACTTCCTGCTACAACAACCCTTTGTTCAGGTTGAGAGTCACCAGTACCACATAAAGAAGTTATTTGTCTAATCATATTGTGATCTAAAGAACTACTTCGTCTCATTCGACCCAATCTTTTCTGATGATTGTTATTTGATTTCTTGCCATTAGTGTAATGGGAATTTGTAGAACTTGAATTAGTTATTGCGTCCGATGAAACTGGAGTTATAATTAATGATGGTGGAGAAGAATTTTCAATGTTGAAAGTAGAACTTGGATCAGAAGATTTTGATCTTGTCGGTTTTCGAGGGTCGTTATCCTCATAGTCATCATCATCATCATCATCATCGTCATCAGGTGCAAGTGAACCAGGATGTGCAGGTAATAAAGCGTGATGACTATATGAACGACCGGATAAACTACGCTTTAATTTTTTGTGATTTTTAGTATGACGTTGTGAAGCCATTAAACGTAGTTTTTCTTGTATATCATCCGGAATAATTAATAAACCGGCAGCTAAACTGACTCGGCGTTGTCCTTTAGAATAGTTATCATCTAATGAAGAAGAAGAATCATCATCATCAGAACTTGGGGTTAATTGCGTTGGAGGAGGTTGTGGTGGAGCATTCTTCATATCATCCCAATAAATACGATTTTCAGCCAAAATGTCCAGAAATATAGTTGCTTGATGTAAGAAAGAAGCAAAAGCTTCAAAATAAGGTTTAACTACAAAGTCACCAAAACCCAGGCTTATTTGGCATTGGTGAGCTTTTTTTCTGTCCATATTAGGAGATACTGGAAGATTATTTTGCTTTTCAAGATCACCTTGATGAAAGAATTCTTCTACAACTAAATCAGACCAACGTTTAGATATATCCCATGGACGAACAGTATTGCTAAGGTCGGCAGCATGAAGTAATACTTTTAATAAAAGTTCACGTTGTTCAGAGTCGAGAGTTGTGATAACAGAGGGACGTCTCCGCGAACGAATTTGAAGATGACCACTTTCACTTGTATATCGTTTCGTAGATTTTATAAAGGTAGAAGAATTTTCGGGAGAAGAAGAAATTGAAGAAGCAGAAGATATAAAACCATTATCCATCTCTTCACCGGATTCTTCAGAAGAGCATGGAGAAGTAGATTTTATCATATTATGTAAAGATTCTAATAAATCAAAATGAAAACTCATGTCTGTGGCCAAGATTATTTTAGTTATTAAATCCCTGAGTATGGTATCGACTTCTTTTGGATCACAACCCAAATATTCGTTACTACAAGTATGTATATTACGAAAAATTCTATGCTTTGTTATAATATCCATTGTAAGAGCACAAGAATGATTTTCCAACACTGATTGGTCATTGTATTTAATAGCGAGGTTCGTTCGAGCATTAACTTGGTACACATTATTTAAACCGGGCTAATAATAATAATAATGATATAATATAATAGATTAGATTAGATAAAGAAATAATAAATAATTAAATTCCTTAATAAACACGTAAATACAAATACTTACATGACCTATATCATGACATAAACCAGCTATAAGTAAGCAAATAGCATCTAATGAAGTTAGATACGATTCAGCACCCAAATCCTTAAGCATGTAATAAAGGACAGCCACTACGTCAACAGCATGATAAAAAGAATGATAGGAAGTTTTGTAATAGCCTTTTTCAACATCGATAATAAAGTCCAACATTACAGATTTACGAATGCCGAGAGTATCTTTAAGGCCAAGTTTTACAAACATTCCCAAAACTATTCCATATAATTCTGGTATCTGCCAATCCCATACTTTAAATTCCATTCCAACTTTTGAATTTAGTTTACCGTCCACAAACTTGAGCATTGTCTAAAGAAGTGTTTAAAAAAAAAAAATAAATAAAGGTTAGTGATAGTCAGTAAGGTATTTACAATTGAACCAGTTAATCACAAAATACAATATAGGTTTAGTTTCCTTCAAGGAAACCTAAACATACCCGTTCACAGGCAATAAGGTGCTCAGAAGAGAGTATGTTATGTTTTGGGACGAGCATTTTTGTATTAGAGTAATTCTATAAAGCTATATAATTCAAACTCGCCAGTATTTTTCTTATATTAATTTTATTATTATTATTATTATAAAGGTATATGCGTAACCGTTCGTAGAGTCGTTTCTCCTTAAAAGGAAGAACAACTAAGTTTCACCAGCGTAAGGTAGTCTCAAAAACCTTTTATATATACAAGCACAAAACTATTCGAATAATAAAATTTGTGCGAGAAAAGATTTTAAAATTTTTTTTAACAAAAAAAATAAAAAATAATAGCCCATATTTATAAAAAAAAAAAGGGTTCATTTTTTTTTTATATAGGTACAGTAAAATCAGCAATAAAATCATATAAAGAAGTGGACTATATAAATTATTATTATATAAATTTTTTTAAATGTGTATCGTAAATATCGTAAATGATGGGATATCTGATATAATATAAAAATTCGGGATAGTCATTACTTAATTTTCTTTTTTTCGTGTAATCTCATTTTTCTACATAGAAATGTAAAAAAAAAGCGTGCCACACCACGGTCTCATTTAAAAATTTATGACTAACTTTTTTTAGCATAGTTATTTTTTTTGGCCAGTAAATTTTAGTTAGAGGATCCAACAAGTTTTTTATTTGTGTGATATCTCTGATCACCAGCAACTTTAAAATGAGCCTGGTGCCGGCAATCTTTGACAAAGAAAAACGTATACAGAAGGCCCATACAGAGATTCTCTGAAGAGACTTTATTGGGAACACAAATTGGGAGAACAAGACAGGTTTAGGCATGTTTTGATTACACGGCTCAACCATGAGAACAAAGAAAAAAAAAACCTAGAGTTTCTGTATGATCCATCCATGCCTTATAATCTTTCCCCCTTGTGTAAAGTTTTACCGAATTGAAGCATCACCTAAGATTGTCACTCCACTAATTTCATTCAATTCAGTGACTTGAATAACATGAATAAATGACGATCGAAAGTACATACGTACGTACGTAAGTACTAAGTACTTACAGTATCAGATATAAATACTGATACAATATGTACATATATATTATATATATCGATTAAATTAAAATTTTAAGAGAATTAAAATAAATGAAATAATGAAATAATGATAATACTATATTAAACAAAATAGGTAAATTCTATAATTACAGGTATTTTTACATGAAAGAATGAATTTCAAGAGAAATAAAGAGAATAAAGAAATTTTTTTATCCGAAAATTTCGGTCACGTGGATGATTATATAATGTGATAATTAACAGTATTATCGTATTACTGTATTACTGTATTTTACTTGCTGTATTACTGTATTTTACTTACTGTATTACTGTACTGTATTACTGTATTACTGTATTTTCGTAGGTGACAAGAAAATAACCTGAAAATGCCGAATGACATCAGAAATGATGGCGTTTTTTCTAGCGTGGGATCAAGAAATTAATGCAAGTCATCTATCATTTTTATCAGCAGTTGTCATAAACCATGAAGCATGTACTCATGACTATTCAATTAACATTTAAACATAAAATCGCGTGGGCTTACCTTGATTATCAATTCATTACAAAAGCGGACCGCACATACCACTCACTAAGTATTCGCGTGAGGCATATCGATAAGAACAAAGAAAATAAAATGACCCTGAATAAGTAAGAAAAAGCGAGAATAATCATGTAGATAACGACTATTATTAAACTATTTCAAGATATCACACTTTTTATTGACATATATGGTTAACAGTTATATGATTACGTTATAGGTTACATTTTTTATTAAATTGCATGCGTAAATCCTGTTAATTTATCAATACCAAGTTTTTTATGATCGATAATGAAATATCCAAATTTTTTGTTTCTGAAAAAAAAAACAAAAAAAAAACAAGCATTAATATTATTAATATTATTAATATTATTAAAATTATTAAAATTATTAAAATTATCTAAACTTCCATTCTTTCATGTCATAACATTATAAACAAAGATCTCTTTAAACTGAAATTTTGAATATGCAAGATTCGTGACGCCACACATCAAAAATTCTCTGGCTGATAAGTTCGTATCACGCAAATATCCTTACACGCAATCTCCAAATTACCATATTTGATTAATGACAAAGTTATGAACAATGTACTTTAAGTATTCCATTCTCTACCACGCATAAAAAAAGGTCCATTAATAAGAGATCGATCGATATGCAATTACGCGTTGGCCGATTCCCATTTCGTGAGATGCCGCCTAGCCCTTTTTTATTTCTAGATAAACGTTGTGTATTGAAAATCCTAATTTAATGGTTTTTCTATTTTTGAATTTGAAAAATTTTTTTTGTTATAATAATCTATTCTCCCTCATCATTATGGATATGTCCGTTAAGTATAATGAATTAATATAATGACGGCAAAGAACGACGTTGTTGTCTTTGATATTGAGTTTTTTTTTTGTGAACCTGCTTTTAATCTCGTCACCTTTTACAGGGTCTGTCTTTTTTTAATTATCTTTGCTCTTCTAACAATTTGTCATACCATTCCTTTGACATTCCCATGGTACAAAAACACTTACAAATGTGTACAAAATCAGCCGCCAATTATGTACAAAGATTTTTTGAATTCTCAAAATCAATCCCTTAAAATAAGTAAGTACAATGCGGTCATCTGTGCATTTTTTTTTTTTTTGGTGGTAAAATTTTGAATAAGTACGACACATGGCAAACCTTGATAACACTCGAAAATCTGCAGTAGTAACGGTATGTTTGCATCTAAGTGCATTGCACGTAAAGTATTGTCACTGTGATTTTGACATTGTTCTGGAAATATGCATACACCCCTCACATATCTTGAAAATAATTGTACAAACTTTACATTAACAAAATATAAGTACGTATGTATGTATGAATATTAATTCAAAAAACAAAGCTCCCGATACGATACAACGAATTTCCCCCTACTGTATGTAACGTTCTTTATATAATTTATAATAATGAAGTTTTACTTTTATATCGGCCTATATTGTATTTGATTGGATTATATAATTTTGAATACCTTTTTTAAAAAAATTTTAATAGTTTAAATATTAAGTTAGCATTTATAAAAATTTTATTATGTATTTATATCGATAAAAATAGTATATAATCTGCAAATTTTTGTACATATCGATATTATAAAAATTTTAATAAAATCAAAAAACAGTTACAATTTAAAATTGATTAATTGGTTTTCATAATCTGGCCGGGTCAAAATTTGAAAACTTCAAAAAAATTTTTTTGTTTTTATAACCGGGTGGGTTTTAAAAAAATTTTTTATCTTTGAACATTAAAAAAAAAAAATAAAATTTATATATTTAAAAGTTTCATATTATGAAAACAAAGTAATTAAATTTATATAGCCTACTGTAATTATAGTTATTTTTTAAATATAATTATATATATATATATATATATATATATTATCTTTAAACTAATATTAATTTTTTTTAATTTTTTATAAAATTATTTTTTTTAAAAAAAAAAATTAATATACTACAGTATATAGTAGTATACTATATAGTAATATAGTATTTTTTGCTAATATATAGTATAGTATTAATATAATTTACTATATATAGTACAGTAATTTACAATTTATAATATTAAAAAAAAATAAATTTAAAGCTAAAAATACTATAATATAAAGAAAATTTTAAAAAAACTCAGCCATATAATTAAATAATTCTAGAAACTTATTTTCGGTCTAAATCTAGTTTCTCTTTTTCTTATTATATATTTGGTTAGGTTTTTACAATATATATGGGGTTGAGTCAATAGAAATCAAGCAAATATTTTTTAATAAATTTTTTTAAAACTTTAAACAAGAATAACTTA